TCTCTCTCTCTCTCTCTCTCTCTCTCTCTCTCTCTCTCTCTCTCTCTCTCTCTCTCTCTCACACACACACACACACACACACACACACACACTTTAGTAGCTATGGTGCTAAGCACAGTTGATTGCTGTCTACTTCAGTTGCTGCCTGGTCGCACAAGTGCGCTACAGCAGTTCCGCGACATGCACGGATGCAAATTGTGTTGACGTTTGTACCTGCTGCAGTTCCCAAACTTGTACTTTTCTGGCCATGGTTGACATACGACGCTTCCAGCGTCTTCATGGACTTTTCCTGGAACTGAGCCGCAACAGACTGACGGACCAAAAAGATTACCGGGCCTACCGTATCCTGGCGACCTACCCGCTGTACGGATCTACAGGCCTACTGACTTATGGTACGGCCTGGGCCTAAGAGACCTACCGGCCTACAGGTTGATCCGGCTGGCTGGGGCTATAGTGCATGGCACACTCGGACTTTAAACTGGGATCAGGACTCTGAGATGCGTGAAATACTATCAAAATAGTATCAAGTGATTCAATGACGAAGATGATGTTGATCAATACCCAAGCACTGGATGTCTTGGATTGTTTTTGCTGCTCTTTACGGACAGTGTAGACTTTGGTGCATATTTCAGGCAAAACTAACTGAGCCGTTGATCCATCCAGGTACTTGGCTTTGTTAAATTGGTGTGCCTACACGTCGTTCGTTTTCATGCTTGATTGGTCTCGGTTTTTATGGATCGAATTAGCGTGAATTGTCTTGGGGAAGATGCTGCATGCAAAAAGCAGAATCCCATAATTCCACTGGTTTTTATGGATCAAATTCGTGTGAATCGTCTTGGGGAAGATGTTGCATGCAAAAAGCAGAATCCCATAATTGCATGGGTGAGTGGCATTGATGGTGCTGCATGTCTTATTTCAACCCATCCTTACGTGAATGGATATAGACCTGCGAGTTCTCTCAGGACACAATGACACATATACCTGACCATGAGATCTCTCTTTTTGTTTATGGTTTGCCTTCGCTTCTGTGTATAATGCAGTGCTGAAAACCCGGTAGGACCGGGGGGTCCTCCCCCAACCGGAACCGGGCCGGTCCTACGGGCTGGTTCCCCCCCGGTTGGCTGTAGCGCATCTTTTTTTTTTTCTTTTTTTTTTAGCCCATGGTGTTGTTGAGGCCAAGGATTAGACCCACAGTGATTGCTGGCAGCGGCAGCCGGTGGTTGTCCTGACAGGATAGGCCACCTTCCCTACCCTTCCCCACGTTAATGCTCCCAGCGCACCCCCTATCCCTACTATCCTACCTCAGTGTCAGGACCATCGCCCTACCAGTATYGAGGGCAGTCACCAGACAGCAGTGACAAGCACCCCCTAACACTATAACCCCCCCCCTTCTTTTCAAAGTTTTTGGGTGGGAAGCACCGTCCCTACCCTGCCACTAACACCCCAGTGTGACCAGCACTCAGGACCATCACCCTACCAGTGTCGAGGGGAACTTGGACGAAGCACCCCCTAACACTACAACCCCTACCCCCCTTTTCAAAGTTTTTGGGTGGGAAGTACCGTCCCTACCCTGCCACTAACACCCCCACCCCCCTCTTCAAAGTTCTTGGGCAGAACGTCAATGTTTGCAGAAAGCCAGGTACTTTGTTGTCAATGTCTGCTGAAGCCCGTGCTGAAACCCCACCACTAACACCCTCACCATAAACCCCCCAACCCCCGATCCTCAACCCCTGAAATACCCCCCCCCCCCAAACCCCCTAACCCCCCAAACGCAACTTCTCTGTTCAAAGTTTTCTTTGCGGATTCGGGGAGATCTCGGTGAGCGCAGTCCAACCATGTTTTCAATTTTTTTTTATTTTTCTTTTTACCCTCTTTTGGACCCAACCGGAATTCCGGTTGGACCCCTGGGGGTCCAACCGGCCCGGTTGGATCCGGGCCGGTTCAACCGGCCGGTTGCCGGCACAGCCATGGTATAATGTACTCTCTCACTTAAATCTTGTATTGTTATTGTTTGCGGGTGTATTTCTTGCTGGATTGGGCCTTCCATGTTTCAGCGAAGAGCTTAGTGCAACCCGGCTTCTTTCCTTACATTTTATAGACATCCCTTCCCTCTAGTTGCTTGCAATTGGCTCTACTGACCTTGACATTCGCTGTGTGTGTGCGTGTGTGTTTGTGTTGGTGTTTGTGTGTGTGTGTGCACGTGCACTTGACCTTACAGCTACCACATTTGGGGAAACCCATATGTACCGTCTCAAGTACAGGTATGTGTTTAATTTGGTAGTGTAATCATCCAGTCTTTCGTGTGTGTAAATAGAGGATATGATGCTATGTTGATGAGTTTATAGATAGTGCTAGATGGCCATGTTGAGCTGATACAAGGTGCTAGATGGCCATGTTGAGCTGATACAAGGTGCTAGATGACCATGTTGAGTTGATACGGAGTTCTGGTGTGGGTAATGCATGTTGGGAACACAGTTGCAGTTTCCACCTCGAATGACTGTTCATTATGGAGAATACGGAACACTGTCCAAACACTGTCCGAACACTGTCCCCGCAGTCTCAAGTGTGTAAATCACAAAAATTTGACGCATCATCCCTCACCTGATCCTCGTGGTCCTCATGCCGTTTTCTGATTGCTAAAACTTTTTTTGTTTGTTGCTTTGCACTTTCTCTTTTCCTTTGAAGCATAGAAGCAAAGCTAGTCGCTGCCTGCCTTGACCAAGGAGCCGAGTGTCTAAATGTTCTTTTTCTTTTTTTTTTCCCCCTCGCAAATGCTGGTGGTGTTTCTCACTCCAAGCAACATCCCGAAACCCTCCTCTTCTTGGGCCTCTGTTCTTGAGCTGAGTGCTCTCCCTAGTACATCACCTCTGCCTTCTGCCTCGTCTTTGGTCCTCTGCTTACTGTGGTTGTAAATGAGACTTTGCTTTGTGCGAAAGTTTAATTTTTGAAGAAAAGCTCCAGGATGTACGAGGATGTCTGATTGACCAAGTGCATGAGCTGTATTTGGACGTTTGCACATCCCAATGTATTCTGGCAGTGGTGTGTTCTTTGAATTGCTGTCATTTGGTAGTAGCTCCATTTGGAACTCTTCCTTTTGTGCCTGCAGTTGTACCACATGAAAAATCAATCAAAAGGTAACCTACATGGCCAATAGAACAATAAAGATATCAGCTTTGCTAGTCTATGCTTTATCAATCTCCACCTGCTTGTGCCTCTTCTTGGTTATGACTGCCTGCACGCAACTGTAAAAACATGAAACAGGCAGAGGGTAATGTCTGGTTTGCATGAATGGAACATGCCAACATGGCATATGTTATGGGCGAAGGGTAGTCGCCTTGGGGTTTATTGTGGTTGTAAGATGTGTTAGGGCTTGTACTAACTTGGTAGTGTTGGTGCAACAAAGTAGTGGTGTGTGACCTTGGTGTATTGTGGTTGCAACTTGTTAGGGTTGGCAGTGTTGGTGTAACAAAGCATCTCAATGTGTGTGTAGGATGACGGTGTTGCTAATGTTGTTTTGTGTGTGTGTGCTGTGTGCTGTGTGTGTGTGTGTGTGTGTGTGTG